CGCCAACGCCTCGCTTCGAATCGATCCAATCCGCCGTCTAATTCATAATGCGCATGCCATGATAAAAAAGAAAAAAAGGAAAATGAGAAAAGAATCAAGAAACGCCCTCAAGTAGCAGGCTGGTAAACATCAGCAACAAACCGATCGCCCAACACCTCCCTAGCATCCCGACCCAACACCTCGCTCAAATTGTTCAAGAAATCATCAACGGCCCTCGGCCTAGCGCACGCAAACACGAGAGCGCCATCCTCGATGTTCTTGACCAGCTTCTCCCGGACACCAGCCTCGAGCATCGCATCCTGCGCCCTCCTCTTCTCCTTGTTACTCCCCGTCAACCTGAGGATATCAAGAATGCCCGCCTCGCTTGCTTCCTGCACCGCTTCGCGCACGAGAGACTCGTCGGCCGCCTTGAAGCCAGCGAAGAGGCTAATCGCGGGTCCCTTGGTGGACTTGTCGCCCGAGGACCGAAGACGCTGGAGACGGTTCTGCAGGAGTCCGCGGACGGGGGCCATGCCGGATCCCGTTGTGAACACGATCATCGGCTTGTCCTGGTTCTCGGCCATGGCCTGCAGGTGCGATGAAGGGCGGATCTTGCAGGTCGCGGCACCAAAGGTCTCGAAGCAGTTGAGGTACTTGTCCGAGAACTTGCCGTTGGGGTGGTGCTGCACCAAAAGATCCAGCGTGTTTCCATTCTTTTGCTTCGTTCTCGAACCGTCAGAGGCAATGGAGTATTCCCTCGGTTGGATCGTCGGCATCGCGTTGCACAGCGCATCCAGCGTCACGGTCTGTCTCCAGTTGGCAGGAATCTGGTGGACCACATTCTCAATAGGAACCTTGGCCAACGTCTCCGGCTGAGGAAGAGACAGCCACTCTGCCCACTGTGTAGACTTGAAAGGCTGGTCCAAGTCGGCAAACCGCTGGAAGAACTCGCCTACGGTAGGCTCACCGGGAAGACTAAGCCGCTCTTCGGCCTGCACGCCGAGAGCGCCCAGGACGCGAGACACCTTGTTCTGGGAGTTTGGCGGCAGAATCCAGACGCTGCCCATGGTCGGGTACTCGCGATCGCCCAGGTCGAGGGTGACCCTCTTCATGCCGTCCGCGGCGGTGCCAAGGACAGGCTGTCCGACGACCTTTGCCTGAAACCACGGACGGGTGTCAAAGGGTCTAACCTGGCGAGCGGTCCGCTGCACGTCACCCGTCTTGTTCTCTTCTTGTGGCGGGCTTGACTTTTGGAGCCCCGTGAGAACCTGATCGAAGAACTGGCCGAGGACGGACCACGGAGGGTTCTCTGTCGCGGTGTCGGCTTCGCGCATACCAATGAGTCTCTGGGCATCACCTTTGCTCAGAAGCTCTTCAATGTCCATGGCGGCCTGGTTATAGGTATCGGCGTACTCGAGGGAGCCGTTTGCAAAGATGGCATACTGGCACGATATGGCCTTGGGATTCCTCGCCAGCGCGTCGGCGAAGGCCTTGCCGTTCTGTGGGATCTCACCGCGACCCGTCGTGCTGGCGACGATGACCAGCACGTCATCGGGCTCGACCATGGAGATGGGCAGGGCGTTGAGCGTGCACGGCACCACGACGGACCCCAACTTGGGGTTGATGTCGCACGCGTGCTGCAGCTGCGCGCACAGCCTCTTGCAAAGCTTGATCGCGACGTTGCCCGAGCTGCAGAATCCGATGTAGATCCTGCGCCCGGGCCCCCGGGGGCTTAACGGCGTCAGGGGCGTGGTGGGCCTGAAGGCCTGCTGCTGCTGTTGCTGCGAAGCCGGAGGAGGGATGGGGAGAAACGTCGACGGGGAGGAGGCGGTGCCGAAGGGGGAGACTGGCGTGACGGGCCTCGTGAGGGAGATGGAGGGCACCACGGGGATGGAGATGTTGAGCTTCGTGTCCGAGGCGTAGTGGTGAGAAGGCCGCGCCGCGGGGCGGGCCTGTCGCTGCCGGCGCCAGGCCTTGATGGGATCTTGGGCGTGGCGGCAGATCAAGGGCTTTGGTTGGTAGTTTGGTGAGCCGCCGCGGTGCCAGATGGGAATGATGGATCCTTGAGGCGGTGCCAGCCAGTACGGGTCAGAGGGGAGGCGGAAGCCGTTGTTCATGAGGTGCTCGTCATCGAACTGGGCGAATTGCTCGGCCGCGCCAAGGGAATCTGACATTCTGACACCGGCCTGAGCGAAAGACCAGTATGTGGCGTAGTTGAGCTCGAGCTGCGCGCGGGACTGGTTGGCAATGTTAGCAGACGCATCTCAGATGTAAGCAATATGTAAGAGATGCTTACCAGCACCGCCAGACGCTCGTAGTCGGGGAGGTCATCTACATCGCCATCGACCAAGCCAATCGCCTTGGCGACCTGCGGAAGCGCGTTGTAGCGGAAGGAATCTGCGAGGTTGCGAACACCGATCTCAGCGTCCATGAACCTGCGTTTGCTTTGTCAATGATGTAATTCTTGCACCTCAAAACAAGTTAAACTCACCATCCAATAAAGGGCGCAGCGGTGTACTGGACACCGCCGATACTGAAGCCAAGGCGGCTGAGTGCCGGCGCGGGAACCCAACGCAGGCCAAGGGTCTCGAGCTCAGGGTGCTTGGGATGGCGGATATGTACCAGAGGGAATGCGTCCTTGGGGAGCTCGGTGATGACGGGCTCTTCTCCCTCGGCCATGGTGACGAGGGGAAGCAGATCCCATTGTGAGCGGAAGCGCGGCGGTGTCCAGCCGAGCTCGATGATGGCGTTTGTGAGTTCCACGTTGGCGGGGTCTCCGAGGATTGTGCCGTTTGATTGTTGGTACTTGGCCGTGTTAGTCAATTGATCGGTTCTCATACTGGGAGGTAGAAAGACTTACCCCTGCAAAGGACAAGAGTTGTGAGTTCCAGATCATGGGACCGCGGCTGTCAATGTCTCTGGGAGGGAAGACAAAGACTGTCGGGTTGATTTCACCCGAGTTGTAGGCCACTCTCAAGTTCTCAATGAGAGTCTCGGCCATCTTTTTGCTTGTGCGAACATGTCTCAGGTCGCATAGCCTGCCAAAGACTGTTAGTAATTAACTCGACATCACATCAGAATCTTTCTCATACCTCAAGTTGCTATACTCTGATCGCATGATGCACTTCCGAGCATGCTTCCAAGCCGTCCGAAGCCCGAACTCGAGTTCTTCAAAAGTCTGCGTCCAAAGACCACCCACCAAGCCAACCGTTGCTGCCGGTGGCGCCTCCGATCCGCATTCGGACGCCGTTGTGAACTTGCCCTCTGTCGAGTTCTTTTGAATCTCCTGAAGGACCTCGTGTGCCCGGTGGTGAAGCTGCTCCGTGTCAATGAGACTGTCCTTGTACATTTGCTGGAGGAAGTCGAGCGCATCCTCGCGGACTTGGGCGTAGGACTGATTCCGGCCAACGCGCTCCTCGTCCATGTGCGTCATCCGACCGGACTGGCAAAACTTTGTCGTGCAGCCCGTCGAAGAGAGAGATGGATATTGTGAGCGGATGTTGGCGAACTCTTGTTCCGCTGAGATTTGCCGCGGCGGCTGGGCGAGCGTGCCTTGAAGGAATGGACACGCCATTTTGTTGTGTGTGAGTTTGTGTGTAAGTATGTAAGTTGAGATTGGTAAGACAGGGATGTCGACCGGGGAAGTCGAATACTACTACTTCTTCTTTTCCCCTAAGACTTTTGAGGGTACGGAACCCAAAGAGGCTTAAAGTATAGAAGTGAAAATAAGGTATAGTAACTTTAGTGTGTCTGTAGATCGGTGGTATTCCAAGTGCGAGTCAGAGTGGAGTCTTTGAGTGAAAATTGGTGATGGCGGCATCGGCATCCAAGCGAATGACTAAGTTTAAGCGCCAGTTAAGTGGTTGTTGATGATCTTCCAGACGGGAAAGCCAAAAAAAAAAGAGTGGACGAACCCTCCAACTTTATAACGCTCCAATGTAAAACAAAGGGAATAAAGGACAATAGACTCCAGACCAAAGAAATCTTAGGACGACTTAGTGTTTTGGAGAGAGCTGAGCCCTGCCGTGGACGTCCATCTTTCTGATTTGGCTTTGCATCACCGTCTGATATTGGACACACTGGTTCCCCTTCCTTCTGGAGCAGCCACATGGGCCCGCTTCCCTCCAACAAAATGGTTGCACATCAGTCAACCTCGTGCTCGAGGTAATACAATCAACAACCACCACTATGTGTTGAGGAGGGGTGGTACATGCTGTCTCAGGCAGGCTGGTGCAACTTGGGCTGAATCCATTGGCAAGGGCTGGTTGTCGAGAAATGTTGTTCAGCCCCCGAATAAAGGGGCAAGCTGTATGGTTCCCAAAGCCACCGCAATGTCAACACTTGTTCGTTTACGAAGCATGGGGATTTTGCACACGAGGCAGTAAACGGGCATTGGATTTTACGAAAGTGGGGGATGACGGCGATGAGAGCGTCCTAGCGCTGCCATTCCATCTGACATGGAGGGCAGTCCTCGGGACCGATATTGTTAGCTGGCCGAAATGTTGTTGGTGAGGAGGAGGCTGAGCTGAGGAATCTCTCACTTCTCACTTACAACATGCACGGCCGTTTCCCGCTCAAGTTAACCTTTTCCCAGACAAACGGCTTCAATCGTCGATGAGGGGTCTGTCTCTCTCTGTCTGGTGTTTGGTTTGTGTTCTAACCCTCACACTCTCTCTCTCCCAAAACCTCGGCCCAAGAACCAGTTACACGGTACCGATCCATCGGAGTACACAGACGTACGGCACCGATTGAGTAATTATCTGTAGATCACGATCCGCGACATTATACGCAAGAAATGACACAAAGTTGGCTAATGAATACAACTGACGGCTGACTGCAGCTTGCTTTCTGCGAATGATCGGCAACCATAGAGGCGCATTTGGGCGTAAGTCGGCAAACTCGAAGGAGTGTATCCTCCGGACCAACACTCAGCCATGCTGAGTGAGGCGATTCACACCCACCAGTCGTGAAATGTCTCCCATTCGGCGATAGGCGCGGATGCATCACGAGACCATTGGGCCTCATCCGCCAAGTGTGTGTGTGTTCGCTAAGTGTGTGCGTGTTATGTGTGTGCCTCTCTCGTCTGTCATACGGCGTAATTTATTGCCAATTTCTCCGCGGCCGAATCTTGAGCGCGCAACTCGCGTGGCTCGCCAACGCCATTGCATGAGACTCTTCAAGCCATGGCTGCCTTTCAAGACCTCAGCTGGGCCTGGACAGTCAGCCCATTTACCCCCCGTGATGGCTAATCCTGGCCTTCCATCGTTGAAACTAACGATTTCGAAATGTAACAGAAACCCTTTTGGAATGTTCTATCGAGCCCGTGGCGTTGTCTCTGTTCGGATCCCGGGTTGCGAATTTCGTCCCCGGAGGCCACGAGGAGGCGATATATGAATGTGGGGATACAAGACTCCAAAGAATATAGTGAGGCGCTGATCTAGAAGGCCTCGAGGTGGACGAGGACGGGCTATCGAACGTGAATATCGCGTGGAGACCACGCCTTCTTGCCCTCATTTGCTCGTCTTCTTCGCAGCTGGAGCCGAGGTGGCTGAGATTCGTGATCCAAGACAGGAGCAGGAAACGAGGCAAAACCTGAGTCCATCTTCCCCTTGTTCCTGAGGCGCTCGCCTCAACTTTTCAGCAGCGCCTTGTTGGAAGACCACATGGCAAAGGAGTCAACACAACAATCTGAGAACGGGGCGCGTTTCGTGCGACGTTGCGAATTGTGGGATTTTCTAGAACAGAGTAAAGCTGCTTCCAATATCAACTTATTCGGTCGCGAAAAGAGAGTCTGTCGTTCTCTCTTTCTCTTACATGACACCAAATTTCGTGAAACCCAACTCGAGATGTCAAGGCGGTGGCACAGCATGGAGATGGGACCGCCCTGCCCGGATGAGATCTGCAAGACCGAGCTTGACAGCAAGCAGACCCGGGTTTTCTTGCAGGGCAAATCCGCAGTCGGCGGGCCTTGAAAATCTGCCTTCCGTATCTTGCTGGTGCTTCCAGGTTAATTGTATGGTGCTGTTGGGGCGTTTCGGCCGATGACCGGCGGTGCAGCTTGACGTGCCGCTGCTGCATCGTTGAAAGAGGCTTTCGAGGCGGTGCGACATCGCCAAGGCTGGAATGAAGACCTTCCAGAGACGAATGACACTCGTCACGTCGTAGATGTGCAGCAAAGATGCTCAAGGTTCTTGGCTCTCAGCAGAAACCGAGGAAGTTCTCCTCCATCATTGGTGTGATTTGGGTTGGACGCCAGCGAATTCAAAGTGGTGTTACCGGCACATCTGTTTCTGTTAGCGGGATGGTTTCGCAGACTAGGGAGATCGACATGCGCGGACTGCTGACTAGCTTGGGCACGCCAAACAGTGTCTGTTTTGGCCATTGCTGGATCGCAAGCTATCTTGCTTTCACGTTGGTTGCGGTCGAGAGAAGAAATTGACGACGTAGAAGTCGTCAAAATGCCCCATGAGATGCAATCTGAGCAATGACGATGCGAGGTGAAAACACGAAGACGGACAATAGAAATCTTGTCCAACGTGGCTTGTGCGGCAACATTCTAGTTCGTCCTCGCGGATAACCCATGCCATGGTTCGGCTCGACTGAATTTCACCGAGGGATCCAAAGTTTTGACGAAAAAAAGACGTGAGTTTGCAAGCTTGAGTCTACTTGTTCTATCCAAAATTCCCAATTTTTACTCTGTTCTCAGTTAGCGGTGGGTTCTAACGAGTACCTGCAAAGATGAGACAGGTGATTCAAGCTACGAACCCATTTCGATCGTTCCGGGGGGCTTCGACGTGATGTCGTATGTGCAGCGGGCGACGCCGTCAACTTCGTTGATGATACGGGTCGAGATCTGAAGGATTCAAAGTCAGCAACCATAAATAATGAAGAGGAGGAGGAGCTAGTCATACCCTCTTAAGGAGGTTGAAGTCGAACTCGTAAGGCTCCGCGGACATGAAGTCCAGAGTCTTAACGGCGCGGAGACTAAGAATGATTGTCAGTTGATTGATCGGGGGAGATGACCAGGGAGACAAGCAAGCAAGGTTGCTAGCAGGAGGCGCTTTAGTGATGGCGCTTACATGATAATGTAGCCGTAAACCTAGGAAAGTCAGTCGTCTGCTTTATGCACATATCGGAAGGGAGGGACATACTCTGGCATCACCTTGAACTCCAACAGCTGCAAAGACATCATTCGTTAGCAAAGAACCCGGCCGGTGTGACGGATTTTGAACACCAAAAAGTCTGGCAACGTACCCTTGTTGGAGTCCACAGCAGCATATGCTTGGGACATCTACAAAATGGTAAGCGACTATCCCAGGAAAATCAAAGGGCTGACACTCACCTCATTGTAGATTCCGGCTTCCTTGATCATAGAAATGAAAATGTTGTCGGCAGCACGGGCAATGGCGACTCTCTCGGGTGTCACCTCTCCAATAATGCGGATGGCAATCTGACTGGTGTTAGACTAGCTACGTGTTGGACGGCTGGCGATCTGGTACTTACACCGGGGCCGGGGAACGGGTGACGCATGACCAGATCTTGGTGGATGCCCAACTGTCTGCCGAACTCTCTAACCTCATCCTTGAACTATTTGCGGGAGTCAGTATGGGACGTAGAAAATACTCTAAGCGAGAGCGAAAATGCAGTGAAAGTGCGACGCAGTTTCGTGTCGGCCAAATAGACACAACCCCGCTTTGAGTACATGTCCTACTGTCATCCGAGTGTGACAGATCACAGGATGAGGACGGAAGAGGATTTGGGGAAACGAACCAATTCTCTGAGGGGCTCGATAAGTTTGAGCTGCAAGAAAGTCAGCTAGAGTAAACAAAGGACAGAAAATGGAAGCGGTGTGGTCTAGCGACCAGGGAAGCGGAAGACCTCCTTCCCGTAAACACTCCAGCCGCTTCAGAAGAATCTTTACCTTCATCTTCTCCGGAAGTCCGCCGGTGTTGTGGTGAGATTTGATAGTCGCACTGGGTCCCTTGAAGGAGAGGGACTCGATAAGATCGGGGTAAAGTGTGCCCTGGAGGAACCAAGTGATGGGTCCGGCATTCTCGGTGTTCTCGGCCTCCTTCTCCAATCTAAGAGCCTCCTTCTCGAAAAGGTCAATGAAGGTTGCGCCGATGCTGCTACCGTATTAGAAAGGTCAATACATGTAATCAAGTGTACTGACATCTTGCGCTTCTTCTCGGGCTCGGTGACACCCTTCAGGCGGCCAAGGAACAACTCAGCTCCGTCAGCGACGGTGAGATTAATGCCAAGGTGCTTCTCAAGAGTCTCCTTGACCTGCTCACACTCGTTAAGACGCATGACGCCTATCACAATGAACTCAGTATACCGTTTTGCGCTGATTGTGGTGCTGGAGTGCTTACCGTTGTCGACGAGGATGGCGTGGAAGCGGTCGCCTGATGAAAGATTAGTCTCCCCCCGAGCTTCTTGGATGAGCATCCAGTCATACCAATCGCTTCCTTCATAAGCTTGGCGGCGACAGTGGAATCGACACCTCCAGAGACAGCGCCGATGACCTGTGCCTTGTCGCCGACAAGATGTCTGATGCGGATGATCTCCTTCTGAATGAAGTCCTCCATCACCCAGTTGGGTCTGGCGCCACTGATATCAACGGCGAAGTTCTTCAGGATCTCACTACCGCGAGGTGTCTAAGTTGCTATGTCAGTGTGTGTTCGTGTCATCAAAACTGTGCGGACGGCGTCTGAGCCGGCGGTTCTCCATAATAATCAATGGCCCCATAACGGGCTCCATGCTGATCGCCGGAATATGATCGCCGTATTTGGCGAGGAAAATGCCTCCGTACTAAGGGGGTTTTCGGAAGTTATTCAACTTACGTGCTCCTATGCAAAGTTAGTCGTATCTCTACAAAGGTTCAGGGGAATTAGTAGGACTAACCAGCTCGGGGTGGAATTGGACGCCTGCAGGATTCAGAGTATCAAGTCAGCCATAGTCCAAAGCGTAGAGACGATGATAACTGATAGAACGAGATGGCGTGGATTCGCCAGACTGCATAACGTTGGATTTTGATCGGGATCGACATACCGTAAATTGGCTTGGTCTGGTGGGCGATTCCGGCATACTCAGAGTTTGCCGTGCTTGCAACGACGGTGAATCCTTCGGGAAGAGCCACCAACTGCATTGATTTCAGAAAAACTGCTTCGGAACGTCCAAATGCTCTCTACTCTGGCTGATTTACCTTGTCGAAGTGACTCATGTATGCTACCGTGAAAGTCAGCATTGGGCAACAGAGTATGAGGGGACTTCTGAAATATTTGGAAGCTCACCTTGCATTGTCTCTCCCAGACCAGCGAAGAGGCGATCGGTGTGGGAGTTGCCGGAGTTGAGGATAGTGACATCGGCGTGACCGTACTCTGCATAATGGACAGGTCAGAGTGACTGTTCCATAATCCAACTTGATCCCCCAAAAGTGACTGACCTCGGGCCTCTCCGCGGGCCACGTTCTTGGAGTTGATTCTCCAGGCGAGTTCCTGCACATAATTAGCCGGCTATTCGTCTCGATAGAATGTACCGCCGGAGTCTTGGTGTAAGACGAGAAAGCGTCCTCGTGCAGTCGAAAGCAAGGGGGATATATCGGATCGAGCATTACCTGGCAACCGTAGCTGCACACATCGATGAGTACATGATTCCGCTACGAAGGTGTTGGCTAACATACCAGATACCCAAAATGGGAACACCGAGATCAAAGATCGCGGGGTCGACGTCTTTACAGTATCAGAAAGAGCTCTACTCTACTTGCTCAAGAGGTTTCCTTACGAGGAGAGTCCTGGTCGTAGACGGACGAGGGGCCGCCAGACAACACGATACCCTTGGGCTTGAAAGGAAGATCGGCCAGCTTGGTTGTGCAGGGCAGCATCTCAGCGTAGACCTTGAGGGATCTCAGGCGACGGAGGATGAGATGGCTGGTCTGGGAACCAAAGTCGAGAACGAGGATGGTCTAGAACGCAGTTTGTCAGTTATCTAAATGAACATGACTTTTGCAGCCCCGAAGAAGTTTGACTGTATCGACATCATTGGCGCTTGGTGACTCGTTTATTGCGGTTGTGTGGAGAATCGAGAGTTCGAGTGGAAGAGTTCGATAGGCGCGAGCTGTGTGCCAAAGCTCGTCGCGTGCCCGAGTATACAAGTTCTAGTATTGAGGAGGTTCTGCGCGGTCGGTTGACCACTGCTTTTCGACTCCTCTGATATGACTCCCACTAGGCCCTTAAGCTGTGTTGCATTCGCGCACGCAGCAGTAGTCGTGATCCAAGACTGTCGCAGGTATTTCGATTCGCGATGTCGACTCAATGCAGATATTCACGTGCATAGAAGAGTTCGGGAGGTCGGTTTCGAGGATTTCAGCACTTTTCCGAGGTACTGGCTGGTCGTGTCGGTGATCGCGATGTGTTGTGGGCAGCGGGTTCCACATAGTCAAAGTTCCTGGGGGTCGTATTGGGGGGCATTGATGAGGGCGAAGGGAGTAGACGTACGTCAAACATGTTGTGAGGCGCCTCGGCCTCGGCTTCAATAGCGCTCGCCATCTTGAAGTGCTTGCTTGCTTGCTGGAAAAGGAGAATATGCGTGTTGTTGGCGGTCGTGTTTTGCGGCGAGAAGAAAAAAACGAAGGCGGAGGAGAAAAAGTTTTGGTAAGAGTCAATCAATCGCCCGGCGCGGCACACCTGCGCATGGCGGGGGCGGGGCACTTTCTGTCCCTTATCTTATCGCTCCAGGGGTCCACCTCAGCCACCTTACAGCTCCAGCCACTCACTCACTCTACCTGACCTATCAAGGTGGTGTTCAGTGTCAATGAATTCAAGCAGTTGTAGAAGCTGAGATGTTATGTCTTTGTAGATTTATCTCTTGTGATGTTTTCTTCAAACGAATCAAGGCAGTATTATAAAGCTCAAGTAACAGAACTCCAGATGTAGTGAAATGAATCGTCATTTTCAGATGCCTCAGGGCAAGTACGATCAAGGGCACTGGACTGAGCCCAATTCAGCAAGGATGATGTCATTCATCGCTCCAGTGACATGGCCAAACCCGCCGAAATTTGAGGTTTCTCTCAAAGACATGAGCACTGCGTCTCATACATATAGGTGTCAAGATATTTGAGATCATTCCAAAATGTATGAGATATACGCTGTGAGTACATCCTACCTGGGGCGGTTGAGCCCTCACTCCTGACTGACAGATCCAGGCCGGTGCTGCGGCGGCGTTCACAGTAGACTGTCTCGTCTACCCTCTGGACACCATCAAGACCAGATATCAGAGCCAAGACTTTGTCAAGACGTATGCCTCGACATCAGGAAGCAAAGCGCCCCTCTTCCGGGGCCTCTACCAGGGCATCGGGAGTGTGGTGCTAGCCACATTACCGGCAGGTTAGTACACCAAGTCTCCCATACATTCTCGTGCATCACGGCGAGATACGATATGAACGGTACTGATAAGCTTGTAAACTTGCCAGCCGGGATATTCTTCGCCACGTATGAAAGCATGAAGAAAACCATCTCCAGCACTGATTTGCTCCCTCAGCCGTTTGTGCATGCCTCAGCCTCGGCCATTGCAGAGATGGGCTCATGCCTTGTCCTCGCACCAGCAGAAGTCATCAAACAAAATGCGCAAATGTTACGGAAGCAAGACAACAGTAGCAACGGTACCAGGCGATCAACTTCCCTCGAGGCCCTGCAACAAGTCACAAGTTCCGGGGCGCAGAGGCGTCTCTTCTCCGGCTACACAGCCCTCGTCGCGCGCAACCTCCCTTTTACCGCGATCCAATTCCCCATCTTTGAGCATGTGCGAAAAACAGTCTGGACCTCTCGGTCGCAAGGGAGGGCAGAGGGCAATGAGCAAGGCCTCGTAGAAACAGCCGTAGTCACGGGGACCAGCGCGGGCGCAGCGGGCGCGTTTGCGGCCTTCATCACTACGCCGAGCGACGTCGTCAAGACGCGGATGATGCTGAGCGCGGGAGAAGCAGGCGATAACAGCCACAGCAATTCGTCGCCTTCACATGTTGAGAAATCGGCGAGTCCTAGGTCGAAGCCGAAGCGCGGCAGCTTAGAGGTGACGCGGGACGTGTATCGACGACACGGCGTGCGCGGATTGTTCCGCGGTGGAGGTTTGCGTGCCGTGTGGACGGCCGTCGGCAGCGGTCTCTACCTGGGCACGTACGAAATGTCAAAGGTATGGCTCACTCGGGGCAAGGACGAATCGGAAGTTGTCGGAGGGCTGTAAGAACGGGCGGAAGAGAAGCAGCAGAAAACGTGCATATGTGAGATTAGCAGGGTGCATTTTGAGAGATAACAACCGGCGGTGACGACGGCAGGAACCTAAGAAAGTTTGCTGTAAGTGTATCTCTCCGGATACGTGTATCTATAGAATTAGGTTCCTGTTATCAGCATCAACTTAGCAAAGGCGGCAATGATACGAGATGCATGAGAGTTACGGCGTGCCAAATCGTCTGGTCGTTGTTGAAAGTCGCATATATGGTATAGGGAGACAAAGTGAAGCGACGGGAGTGATTGAGGAAAACATAAGAGTCTCCGAAACACGGCCTGAACATTGACACCCGACCACCTCATTGACAATCCAATGTTGCCGCATTGTTGGGGTGGACATTTACCCGCCAGTGCGTTGATGCCGGGATACGCCAGCCTGCCGATGCAAAAAGTTGTCGGCCAATAGTTTCGGTGTGATAGAGCACAAGTTGCAACTCTGCCGGCCCCTAAAAAGTCAGAATGCAGAGATGAAGGCAAAAAGATACGCACCGCGGCACCTTGAGGGCTCCCACAAGCTTTTGCTTCTTTTCCTCCTTTTACCTACCATACCTCGACCAACGTTGCCAAACCATCCCATCCACCTCACCCTCAACCTTTTTGTTAGCCTTACGGCTAGACGTTTTGGGCCCAGTGTAGCGTCAGTGAAGAATGCGGGGGAACTCGCTGCTCCAACTCGTCGTTTGGGCTTCTAAAGCAATACCACCGCCAGAACCAAATCCAGCCAGGCTTGGCCATCCGTTCTTTTCTCCAGAGACGGGCGAGCCATCCTTTGTCGTTCACCCCGAGTCTTTCTGGTGAGTTTCTGGCCCCAAATTCCTATATGGATGCCCATCACTCCATGTTTTCCCCTTCTTTGGTGCTCTTGTTACGTTTCTGCTTTGACAATTAGCAAACGTAACTCAAGTGTCCCGTACTTTTTGTCTAACTCAACTCCCTTCCCTTACCGTTTTCCTCCAAAGGATCGTGCCAATAAAATTAAAAGTCTAAAAAAAAACCCGAGTCCAACCAAGTCTGAAGAGGCGCATTGCACATCATATCCAAAATTACACACGTCTCTGGCATCAGAACCACATCCGATTGCGCAATCCCTCCAAAACTGGTCGCTCCTTTGCGCCCACTGGTACCGTCCGTACTCCGTACCGAACCGCACCATCCATGGCTATCCCATGCTTGCATGCTTCCCCCCTACTGCATAGCATGCAAACGTCCGGCGAAATTCTTTTTTTTTTTCCTCTTCTCTTTTTGAGATGATCCATATCTTGGATTAGCCCGCCGTGCCCGCCTGGCTGCCCACCCGGGTCGCAGATTTGCTACCTAGGCAAAGTCCAGTCCCATGCAAAAGCCCAGAAAAAGGGGTCCCAGACTTCCCTAAGCATGGTTGAGGGATGAACACCGCTTCTTTGACCGGCACACCGGGTTGGTCAGCTGCACTTGACTCGCACCGAGTCGCTCGACGGTGTGTAAGGTGTTAGTCGCTCCCGACCCACCTGGGCTTGGGTTAGGCAATCCCATGTCGAAAAGACGTTTCCTCGACGCCCCCTGCCCGACACGTCTCTGACTCTGGATGGTGTGCTGTGCTGTGCTGTTCTGTTCTTATATTTCAGACTCGACGCTCATTTTCGTCCTTTCGTCTTTTTGGTTTTCAGATGTTTGTTGTCTTCCTGTCCCAGATAACGAAACACCATAACGTAGCCTCAACTTGTGCTGAGCCGAGTCTGCCCCTTACACCACTCGCTCGTTGCTTCACCCACATCATTTCTCGGCAATCTTGAACGGCAATTCCTTCAAGCGCCCTCTGGGATACCTTGATCCAACAGCTCAAAGCCACCCGGGCTCTTCATTCCAGCACAATCACAGAGGCATTGCTCCGGATCATCATCATGACTGCCGTTGTGACCACGGCCCCATTGGGCGTCGACCTCCTGGCCCAAAGCATCAAGGAGAATACAGCCATTAACATAGCTGAGGTCGACATCAACAACACGGACAGATTCCTCGTCCACTCTCCCTACACAGAACCAGAGCACTTGCTAGATCTCGAGACCCTGGATGATGAAAACGCCCTCCTCGCCAGGGCGTTGTCTCAGATGGAGTGCCTCCGCGCGGACTATGCCACGGCCGGCTACGTTGAATCCTTCAATTGGGACCAAGTTCTCAGCGAGCTCAAGCGCCTCGTCCAATCCACTGGGAAAACATTCAAGGAAACTTCCTTTTACATTGTGGCATTCCGCTCGACGATCCCGCCATCAACAATCTATGAAGATCTCGGCGTTTTGGACAAGGCCGCGCATGCCGAAGCCAACCAATTCGGGGGATTCTTGAAGTAAGAGAAATGACGAGGAAATAGAGACAAAGAAGGACAAGAGACTAACTCGCCCGCAGATATTGGTTCGGAAGTCCCGACTCAGAAGGAAGAAATTTGGCAACGTGCGTCTGGCGGTCGAGACCAGATGCCGTCAAAGCCGGCCACGGTCAGGCTCATCGTCGAGCAAGTCGTGCGACAGCGTCCATGTACTCGTTCTGGAAGATTGATCGACACCGCCTCATCGTTCGTGACGGGGCCGAAAGCTGGGAGATTGTCGATTGGGTTGACTGAGAGCACCCTCTTTCAGACGGACGGGCGGGTAAAACAAAAGTGACTATTTGCGGCGTTTGGTGATTGTGAGAAAATGTCGCAATCGGACTGGTCAATGAGCAATGAGACACCACAAACAGAGCGTATGGTACGCGGCATAAGAGGGTATGACATGGGCGCACTTGAATACTTTAGCATTTTACAGCCAAGAAACCATTGGCTTTTCCTCCATAGATAGCGCAATACACAAACGCATAGATCCGACGCGCCGTACCTATCCCACCTTACACTTGCATCCAAGTGATGGTCCCGTTGCAAATCATTCTGGCTGATGGAGCGAAAGACGAGGGGATGGCGAATACTGAAGCAGGTGAGAGAGCTCGGACTCCCAGAGGTGCTGATTCACGGCTGCAATGTACCATTTTCATTTTATCGACATGTACAACCCGACATGGGCACATAACACCCCCCGAGTGATATCGCAAAATGATGCTCAGGAGCAGGAGAGTCGAATGGGTCAGGTTATGAAGAGGAAGATGGAAGGAGGGAAGCGCAGGACGACGAGATGAGACGACGTTGAATTTAAACTCGACTTGAGTGCTTTCGGCGTGGGGGCAATGAGTGGGATGCCCTCCCATTCAGGACGTGGCGTGTGAAATCTGTTACGGATCACCGTGGGAGAGAAAGACGGCGGTGTGGGTCCGTCCACGGCCGGTCCGGAGGGGTGGGCTTAAGGGAGCTCGAGGGGGTGAACATATCACATGACCTTTTCTCCAGTGAACTCTGCCGCCTGACACCGCCCGACAGCCCACAATCCCTCCCACAATTCGTTGTAGCGAAAAGTTCGATATTTCGCAACACGACGAGACGACTGCCGCCCCTCTCCTCGAATTCCGACCGCCAAGTTAACGCGACACCAACGATCCCGCAGCCGCAGACTCAAAACCAGGCCACCGAATTTTTGAACCTGCACGAAACTCTCTCGATCGTATCGCAAATATGGGTGACGTTATCAAGGAGGTACCGCTCACGGCGGTCCGCGTTGAGGCCCTTGTGAGTCCTGCCCAAATTCTGCCCCACCTCACCTCACATTGGGGCTTTATGCTGCAGTGCAGTCATGATGGAGGGATATATGGTAGAGGATGTGTAATGTCGCTAACCTCAGACGTGTCTCTAGGTGGTGATGAAAATCGTCAAGCATGGCTCCGCGACCTTCCCCACGACCGCCACCGGTTCCATCGTCGGCATGGACGCCGACGGTCTCCTCGAGATCACAAACACCTTCCAGTTCCCCACGGTCGACGTCGCAAGCACCGACAGCCACCAAAACAGCCACCAGAACGATGCCTCGGCCCTCGCTGCCGCTGCTCCCCGCCAGAAGGCCAACATTGTCTACCAGAACGACATGATCAAGCACCTGAAGGAGGTCAACGTCGACGCTAACAACGTCGGCTGGTACACCAGCGCTGCCATGGGCAACTTTGTCAACCTTAGCTTCATCGAGAACCAGTACCACTACCAGAAGGACAACGAGCGGACAGTCGCCCTCGTCCACGACGTCAGCCGCAGCTCCCAGGGCTCCCTGAGCCTGCGCGCTTTCAAGCTCACCCCGGCATTCATGGCGGCATACAAGGAGGGCAAGTTCACGACTGAGAGGTATGTTGGACTGTGTTGTAAATGAAGATTTGGAAACCGACTGGGATGCTGATATCTCTCATTATAGCCTGAAAGCCTCCAAGCTCACTTTCAAGGACATTCTCGCCGAGCTCCCCGTCGAGATTCACAACACCCACCTTCTGACCTCGTTCCTGCACCAGCTTCCCGGCCTCCCCGAGCAGGACAAGATCGAGTCGCCCAACTCTTTGTCGGATCTGCGCGACGACCCCCTCAAGCAGCAGCTCCACCCGTCGGTCGAGAACCTCGACCTCTCGATAGACCCCTTCCTCGAGAAGACGTGCGACCTCCTGCTCGAGAGCATCGAGTCTCACTACACCGACCTCAACAACTTCCAGTTCTACCAGCGCCAGCTCGGCCGCGAGCAGGCCAAGATCACGCAGTGGCAGACCAAGCGCAAGGCGGAGAACGCGGCGCGCGCGGCGGCCAAGCAGGCGCCGCTGCCCGAGGACGAGTGGCAGAGGCTGTTCAAGCTGCCTCAGGAGCCCAGCCGGTTGGAGGGCATGTTGAACGCGAAGCAGGTGGAGCAGTACAGCAAGCAGGTGGACGGATTCACGGCCAACATCAGCGCCAAGATGTTTGCCGTCAGGGAGAACCTGCTGCCCAAGCGGGCTTAGAGGGACGCTTAAGGCAGGCTTAGGTCATTATTGCGCGGCTCCGTGGATGTGGACGGACAAGAACCAAAAACGGAAGGCCGGCGAGAGACGAAGAAAGGGGAGTGCAGTGCAGAGGAGGAGAGCAGAGTCGAGGCGAGGGCAGACACAAAAAGGAGAGGAATTACCTTAGAGAACAGGTGTTCTGGGAATGATGAATGATCTGGGGCAGCGGATCAAAGCATTCGAAACGGCGTTACGGTAATTAGTCCCAGGCAGTGTGTACTGAGTCGATATTCGATGTCTTTTCTTGCATTCCAGAGCGACGGGCTTTCCTCCCTGGGCCACGACGTATTCGGGCCTACCACGGTCTACGGCCGACGTCGAGTGAAGCGTTGCGAGTAAAGGGTATCTTGAAGCCGTGAGGCTGTCAAAAGACGAGGCTGTTGTGGTATGGACATTGGATATCAGCGGTTCGGGGCTGTCGTTCTACCTGGGAGATGATACGTCCGGACACACGAGTCAAAGATAACACGGCCAAGTAGTGGGTTATCGAGTGCGTTCATCAGCGGCAACATCAAGTAGTGGTGAGGTGCTACCTAGCTAGATTTGCCCGCGGATACTCGTCCGTAAAGCAGAAGATGGAATCAAGCACATTGAACAGCAAGTATGAAGCATCCGCGTATGTCTCCGGACAAGTCGGCTTCAGACGCCTCGTCCCAAATACCACCCCCAGTATCGTCCATAATCCATGCTATATATTAGCGACAGAGTGTACTCATTGGTCCTCTTTAGCTTTGACAGCCCTGTCTTGCATGATTCGTCTGGTCCCGTTGAGGATACTGCCCAAAGTCAGTCTACTCGAGAGGGAGAAGTCCTGAAGTGAGGTACGTGGTGCGTTTGTGTTCCCCGAGGGCGATGGTTAGTGGGGCACAAATCGAGGGGTTTCACGCTCAAAAGGGACTAGCGCAAGAAAACGGTAAAACAAGGGGAAACAAAAAGAGGTCGACCTCTCAGATTGAGTCTCGGCGGCACGCCTGGCGCGGCGCGGGCGGGCACAAGCGGCTGGCCCTGAAGCTGTTGCTGGCCAGATGGAAAAAAAAAACTTGAATGTCAATGAGGGGCACATTTCCGTATTTTTCTGAGGTGCCCGTCTTCTCCCCATCAGGGTAGGTACCTGCTCCCTATCAGATCTGCATGTACCTTCGCCGCCCACCCCAAGCCGATTGAGCGAGGCAAATGTATCTTTTCCCACTGAATTCACTCACATTGGCAGTATTTTTTCTAATTACCCGACCTAACCTTACCTTACCTAAGCTACCTTACATGCTTACCTCCGAGCAGGTCGGGCCCGGCCTACGGGCTGCTCTGAGCTTCCGCAGTTGTGTTTCCGAGTGGTAACGTAATAAGGGCCTTCCTTGGACTGAGGTGAGGTGAGCTACCAGTACCAGAGGTACCTACTCAAGGGACCTACCTAGGTAGAGCTTACATTCCAGAGCTTGCTCCCTTAGGTCTAGCCCTCCCTTTCCCTTCCATGTGCGCCGCTCTTTGTGGCTTATCAAAAATGGGAGCTTCGAATGGAACTTGGAAGGGAAGGGTAGGGGGAAATGCAAAACGCCAATTGAACGACGTTGGATGAGACAGGAGTCGGTGTCTTGGGCCAGACAATGACTGACACCTCAGCCAGTACCTCAGCCAGTGACAGCAGACCGGAGAGAAAAGTCTGGCAGAAAAAAAGAACCAAAAAAAAACACCGGGGAATGGAAGCCGAGCTATCTGATTCGTATCCGTACCTTAGCTACGGCATGGTAGGGTAGGTACATTGCCCCTCCTCTTTTGCCTCCTTTCACCGCAAGGAAATGGTCTGAGAGGAGCTCAAAAGGGAAGTGTTCTGGGGCCCTTGAGAAAGTCTGATTGTCAGATATGTGACGGAGGGAATGTACATCTGTTGCATTGTTGGACCCGAGTTATGGCGAGGGATAGCAGCAGTCAGTACCTTAGGTGTCAGAGCTATCATCAGCCGAGGGGCATGTCCGTCTTTTCCACCACAGTACCTGGTGTACTTGGGTTGTGAACAGCACTGATGGACAGATAGCATGTACTTCTTGCTATCGTCTTGTATCAGCTCCAAAGTCTCGCGGAGCCATGACCAGCAGACTGAGCATCGGTGACCAGTAGAGCAGCATGGTGTGTCCACTGTTGAGGACGAGGTGCCCAGACAACGACCAGACACTGGCAAAACCCCACCCCGCCTGCCACACCTCGAGACTTCAGTCAATTGGAAGGCACGGCGTGGGTGAGGAGGAAAGAGCATTGGATCGAATTGTGAAGTTTTTTGCCCCGCCTCAGGCTTCAGGTGGGCTGCTGGCCTGCTGCAAAGGCAGGAAGTCCCCGTCCCCCAGTCACTTTTTTACCCCTCCTTCCCACCACTGGCCACCTGCGGATACCTCAGTCTGAACTTGTGAACTTGTGAAGTAGGTACGGAGATCATGTAGAGACAAGTACCTTTTTTCTGTTCTAATCACCGTACCTTACGCCGCGCTTCGCCGACACACAGCAACACCAAGAAGGCAAAAAAATGCAAGAAGGAGGTACTTTTTGTTGACACAGCAGGAGCAGCAGAGATTTCTCACCTACCCAAGGTACCTTACCTCAGGGCAGTCTGGATTCCCGACATCTCATCCCTCGCATCCCGCATCCCTCCCACTTCTGGCACTCCCACTCAGGCACTCACACACCGCCCTGCCTTCCTGC